TTAATTACGCAATTTTTGCGCGCAAAACAGCCCATCGACAAAAGCGTAATATAATATGTTTACACGTTGAAAGCTGCGCGCCCGGGGTCTCTCTTTCATGCGAATATCGCGATGATAATAAATAGGGAACGTTATCTCTCGCGTTTACGAGAGAAGTAAACTAAACGACTCTTCCCCGTAACGAACCTTCGTGTATCCTCGCAAAGCATCCTTAGTGAAGCCGTATGTCAAAGCACAGGTATAGGTTAATTATATTATACGCTCTACATACGCTCTTTACACACGGCCCACGCACCTATATCTATCTCGCGCGCATATGTTTTGTAATCCTTAGTCCTCAAAGGCAGATCTTTGCGCACCTTATGCACGATTAGCTTGATCTCTCCGCGCGTATATTAGACGCTCACCCTTCTGTGAGGGGAGCTGCTTAACGCTCGTGGCTATGTACACAAAGTTCAAGTCAACGATACCTATCCAGTGGCTATCCACTCGCGTTAAATGGTTAAATGATGGGAAAACAAACTTTTTCTATAATAATATCTCTCAAGGACTTCAGGATGCGTTTCAATAATAATGGCATGATACACGTAGTGCAACATTATAATAACAGGCATAATAATAACAGAGATAATAGCATTGTATGTAACAATAATGGTAGTTATTAATTGCAATCGTACTGGCATAATAATTACGAATGATACCACAAAGCGTTGCCGTATATCAAATTTCGCTGTACGCTACAGTGGATTATCTATCTATATCATTCAGCGCGTTTAGAAAATCATGTATTACAAAATGAAGAATTCGAGTATACATAAATACATATTATACTTCTTAATATATTTAAATATGTCGATTCCTTTAAACATATTTGAAGAATTCGCGAATTTGGACAAAAAAATTTCGAGACTGAAAACACAGATATATGATGTATATATATTTCAAGGATCCTGAAGGAGAGAGAAACTGATTTTTTTTCTTTTTCTAATTTAGATATAGCGCACGGAAACTTTACGCCCGAGGAGGCCCCGACCACCGAATCGCCTATTCAGAGTGATGTCTTCGTTGAGAAAAACGGCGCCGCCGAGGGCGAGCTTCCGGTTTCGACGGCGAAACACGACGACCCGACGTACATGGCGATCGTGATCGGCGTGCTGACCGCCGTAATACTTTCACTCGCCGTGGCGATATTTCTGATTGTTTCGCGACACAGGCAACGCAAGTGCTTCGCCAGCCCTATGACCGGTAAAGCCCCATCGCATTTAGGATCCACCTGCGCCACCGTCGAGAAAGGCGCGGCTCTGATGGCGTACACCTTGGAGGACGATGAAAGGTACAATCGATTACTTGTTGAAAAATAAAAAAAAAAATAACGTATAAAGAGGAAACGAAATTGCTAAGAACAGTGCGATCCTAGACAACGTAAAAAAAACCCGGGATGTAATTTCTTTGATACGCTCTCTCTCTCTCTTTCTCTGTCGCGTATATATTAATAGAATTTTCTTACGATTAAAATACGCGCATTGATGAAAAATAAAATAAAATCGCATAATTTTAAAATAATCTTTAACATTGAGCCACAATATTCGAATTGAAATGTGAAATGATATCTTGAATAATTATAATAAACTTTATAATAATTTAAGTAATTAATTAAATATAAATTTAATAGAAAATAACTTTATAATAATTAACCCTTCGTCCGCATAGGTGGGTCGTTTTCGTCCGGGCGAAAATCAAATGTAGTTGTAACTTTTGCAAACGCGTAGAAATGGCGCCACTGCGCATCCGTAAAAAAAGTTATGCTCCCCGAGAACCCGCCTACCGAGTTTCAAGGCGCCAGACCTCCTCCAGCCGTCACAGGAGACACGTAATTCTTGAAAAAACGAGGTTGGCGGCGAACACTTAAGCACTTCATTTCAAAATAATTGCATGCAATATTTTTTTTATGAAAGGTACGTTTTTCCCCTTCAATTTCTTTTTTTATTCATTTCGATATCTTTATTTGTCTTAAAGTTATGATTTTTTGAGTAAAAGATGATTTTACAAGTTGTAGTTGTAGTTGCTCCATTTCTTAAATAAAAAATATGTGAAAAAATTAAATTGCTTATAATTTTATGATTGATACTTCAAATTGAAGGTTTGAATTACCTCCATAAATTTTTTCAGATTTTTTGTAACACTTTAACACTTAAAAAAAAACGTCAAGACGAAAACGACCCACCTATGCGGCGTAAAGGTGCCAAAAAAACGTATGCGGACGAAGGGTTAAATTTGTCAGCTAGTAAGATGGAGCAACTTTGAATGATGTTTATTACTTTTAGTCGGTTCTTATTTATTGCGTGACCATGGATGTCTAGACAGCCGGATATAGGACCATACGAATACTCGCTTTTGCATCGCGAAGCGTGTTTAACGATAATACACGACCGCGTCGTACGAAGCCGTGCTCTCCTCATTTCTTCCAAGTTTGTGTCCACACGCTCAGATGACGGAAGCGGCCTTCCAATAAACTTTCCATCCACCGTGCTCGTTAGCGAACGTCCAATAACGTCTAATAACGGACATCCTCGGGCAATATATCGAGTTTGTGCGGCACGAATGTCTCCAAAGGAGAGATCCTACGGCCGCCTCGTAACTCCGAAGCATCCCGCACCAGGTTTCGGCATCGATCCCTCCCCTCCCGAGCCCCCCTCTATCCGCTTTGTGCAATCCGATATTACAGGTTGCGAGCTTCGTAGCGAAAGAGAGGAACGTGTAACGTGTAACTTCAAGTAGGCGTGCGAATGTTGCGCCGCCGGTCCTTTGACGGACCGCGTGTGCTCCGCACACATGATACTAAAATTCTCGAGCGGAAAATATATACTGCCCTTGAAAACCAAAGATCCGTACAATCCGCAAAGTCGGAGTTATTCCAATACATTTTGTATACGTAATTCTCTTTAAATGCGAGGCGGGTCGAATGTAATATCCGACCACATTGATATTACGATTTAAGTGAGGCTTATGTATTATATGCACAGCTCGAGTAAGGGACTGATAAAAGATGCCTACTGCAATTGGAGTAAATAAATGGTAGATTATATGATAAATATATCAAGTCACATATGTCCAAAAGGGAATAGTTGCACCGTTATTTATTCTTTGCGACTATAATCGGAGAGCGCGAGTGATGTAGCTAAGAAATTATCAGCCATGGTAATCTGACGAGAGATGGAACGCGATCTTAATCGATCGCTCCTCTTTCAGATACGCGGGCGGTTCTCTGCCGACTTTGCCCCGCGATCTCGGGAATCGTCTCCTAGATATCGTGAAGTTGGACGACTACCAAGAGCCGTATCAGGCGCTAAAGTACGCGCCGTACTACAGCTACAGCACCGTCGTTATGGAGATGAAAGACATGATGCTGAACAACAAGGGCACCAACATCAATCACTCAGGTATGCGGCGCTCGAACGCGTCTACACCTACATCTACACACGACATCCATATACCTACATCTACTCGCGACTACTCGCGCACTCGCGCACGCTCGTGCAGACACACATATGTACGCACTCCGCGTACACACATTCGAACAGCCGTGGCTCCTGTGCCAACGGCCGTGCACCTACATACGGTCCCGGCAACAAAGCATTCGCCCTGACCGCAATCAATACGCCATCCCCTTCTGCGCTCGCTCCTCCTTTGCTATATCATCCGCAGCGGTGTACGCGAACGGTGCAGTTGACACGTCGTACGATTATGCGGTACCGGAACTCGGCACGGTACCCCTGCTCAATCAGGATGCCGGCGCCGGCCGCGGGGCGACCGTCTCCAGCGCCACCGGCGATCAGGACAGCTTCTTCTCCAAGAGCTCGCGGGCCACGAAGACCGAGGACAAGAAGGTGACAGATTCATATCTCTTGGCACTTTATGAGATAATTTTATATTCGTTTTTTAATGATGTTAAGGCTTTTGGGCTCTTTCCCTACATCTCATGAAATATGTGACGTCAGAAGCGAGAAATGTTGAAATTTGACACGTTGAGAATTCTTGCATAGTATTTCCAAATAAAAAGATATTTGCTTAAAATAACACTACAGATCACTTCAGCACACTTCGAAAATACGCCGAGTTGAAGTTAAGTCTACCCCTTTCCCTTGACAGTTAATAAACAGCCGTAAAATGAATGTAATACGAAATCTAGTCATGCGCCTGCGCACAAGCCTGCATCGTATCACATTCGTTTTACGGCTGTTTATTAACTGTCAAGGGAAAGGGGTCCTCAACTCGGAGTATTTTCGAAGTGTGCTGAAGTGATCTGTAGTGTTATTTTAAGCAAATATTTTTTTATTTGGAAATGCTACGCAAGAATTTTCAACGTGTCATTTCTCGCTTCTGACGTCACATTCCAACATGGCTGCGACGAGTACCCAGGAACCTTAATTAATGATATAAGCGTCAAGCCCACGAACCTAGATTTCGAAAACCAGAATGTAACAGAAATAACTTTGCAATTTTAAAATGAACAAGATGAAATCTTTCGTTAACTTTAATGGTATCAATATTATAAGAGAAAGGACTCCGCATGATTTATAATATTTTATATGAAAAAAACGTTTTTTCGGTCAATTTTTTTGAATTTTTAATATGTTGTAGTACTTGTGTCTTTGATGAAAAGTTACAAATTTTATCAACTTTCTATGATTAGTTTCTGAGTTATAGGCATTTGAAAATAGCGTTCACCGTTCAGTATTATTATTTTTGCAAAAATTCAACATTTCAAAATATCTAAATACACCTAACCTTTTTGTTTAAAACATTTTTTCATGTACCTCACGGTGTCAGACACATTCAACTCGTAATCAAACACATGGAAGTTTTTTCGAGGGGTTGTTTTAACTCCTAAACATGCTTCGAAGCCGATAAAAAAAAATACGCATTTGTTATTTTTCTCTACTCTAAAACATATCCAATGCCCATCCAAACATATCCAAAATCGGTGAGAGATGATGAGTTCCAAATATTCCCTTGTAAATCTATATAGGAAAATGGGGTGCATGATTTTCATTCAATTGATTGTATGATTGCATGTCTTCTATGAAAATTTGCGGGTTTTATATATTAACTGTTATTCGCTATTGGGTACTTCAACATATTAAAAATTCAAAAAAATTGACCGAAAACGTTTTTTTTATATAAATCGTACGGGATCCTTTAATATAACGAGATCCAATGCAGAAAAAAGATTCTATTAAATATCAATTTTTAATATAAATCAAATTATTTATCTTTATTGGCTTTAGAAAACGTAGGGTTGAAAAAACTTAAAATATTTTTTGGATCTTTGTATGTACACATACGTTAATATTATTTCTCTTGTTTAACATTTATCTTTACGTTATCCAATAAATAGGGTAGAAAAAGTATCTTTAGTTTAATTAGCACGGTATATTATATAATTGTGGGTATTGCAAGACGATGAGAATCTATATTAATCAAGAAAAGGAAAAGCGATGGCATTAACGTTTAACGAATATTGCCGACTGATCTTAATGTGCGCTCTATAAATAAAAAGCCGAAAAAAAGTGCGCGCCGTTGTCGTGCCATTAAACGTAACTTTCCACCGGTCGGAGATAAATTCGCAATTAATAATTTAAATCAATATGGTGGAACGAGAACGGAACATTTGGGGCGGATATACCTCCCGTGGGTACAGTATAACGTAGCTCGTATCCAGAATGCCAGAGCGCTATACGAGGGCGGAAAAGAGCGCGGAAACCCCTCCGGACCGACATCGAGCACGCGAGACGATCCCCTGGGCTCTCTATTGACATGAAAAGAATCACGGGATCGCGGCCGAAGATCAAGTTAAAAGCGAGCGTATAATCGGTATTGACGGATGTTTTTCTCCGGTGTCAACAATACGGCGATACCGTTCGCTGCTGGAGGCCGACAATACTTGATACACATGCAGTAAAAGCTCTCTTTGAAATGTCCGTCCGATTATGCGCACCTTTCATGTATGGGAATAATATATTATAAGTAATATCATCTGACGTTCCTTCTATCATGCAATTACAAGCTATAATCTCTGGATAAAAACGATTGAAACTGTATTGGTGAAATTTGTATCAAAGTTATGCTTGTTTTCTATGAGTCTTACAAGATTCCTCAAATATATGTCTCAAATATATCTAATATTTAATATTTTCTAATCTAGATTCTCTAATCAATCTCTAAAAAATATATAATAGTGTAGATAACTTTACATTGTCGAAATTAAACATATTAATTGAAATCTTTTTAACTTTTTATGATCTTTGGATAAAAAATACTCAACGGTTGAAACTTTATTGGTGAAATTTGCATCAAAGTATGCTTGTTTTCTATGAGTCTTACAAGATTCTTCAAATATATCTAATATTTTTTAATCTAGATTTTATAACTAATCTTAAAAAAAATGTAAAAAAACGATTAGATAATTATTTACATTGTCGAAATTAAACATATTGAAATCTTTTTAACTTTTACTGTTAACTAACTCCGTAACTTTCGTTGAATTATTGTTATCTTCATCACTTTCAGTATCCGTGACTGACATATAAAAATAAAAATTGTTTCGTTATGTTTTCCCAGTATACCTAACTGCGCGACTGTAACTTCCACGCCTAGCACAACGCAAATAATTAACGCGACAGGAGCGACGTGACTTCGGAAAAGGGTAATTGGAACAAATTGCCGAACGCGGGACGGACGGCAAAACAGCCGGCGTGTGACGTCGCTCTGCTTAGACGATAAATCGCTATCGCGGCTCGTCCCACACGCGCCGGAAATAGAGCCGGAGACTGCCGGCATAGTCAACGGGTTGTCCGCGAAATCGATCGATTGATCGCCGTCGTCGCATGGCCTGTAAACGAACTCCCGTCGACAGGACACGTCGACAGGGGTCCTCTCGCGGATACGACCGCCGCTGCAAACCTGCAACCCTCATGGAATGTATCATCATTACGCGGTTCAACGGTTTTCGGTTCAGTCCGCTCCGTTAATTGCGGAGAGAAAGCGCGTCGTGTAATCACGTTTCCAACCGCCTCCCCGCCTCCAGCGGTAAAGCTCATCCAGTCGACATTGCAAAAATATCGCGCAATAGGGGTTGATTTCACGGCCAACCATCCCGGGATCGAGTGTCGGCGAGAGCATACGGCCCGTACAAAATTTTATGACGCAAGTAATCTCTTGTTTTAAGAGCCGTGTAACGCCCAATTTGTCTTAAAGTGGCGACAAAATACAGAAGATACATGTTACAGATGAATTATTTTCTGCAGAAGAAAATGGCTGATTTTTAATTGTATATACAATTATATATTTTAGAAGTAACATTGCGCGCGACTATCTGTTTATTAATGCATTTTCATGAAGAAAATCTCGACAGTCAGCAAGTAAAATATATCTCGCATATTCCTCGATGAAAAATTGTGACAATCTTTCGTTTTTTTTATCAGATATAATTATAATAGACGTAATTATTTTATTTCTATCTTTCTAACCCTAGCTAGCCACACTTTATCGCATTGTCATTTTTATTCTAATTAATATTTTTAGTTTGTAATGTAGGAATTGGAAATACTGAGTCTGAATAAGATGTTCAAGATAATATTAGGTCAAGAAATTTGAGTTTAAACTGATCTTAGAAATTAGAAAATTATGTTATTATGCGAAAACGTTTCTCGTTGTGTTTATTATGGTTTCGAAACGTAAACAGCTTATTCTATCAAATTTTTAATAAACAAATTTGTTTTAATTTATCTTTTAACACCTTTATTATTGCTTGAAAATTGGCCGTTTTTCGCTTTAATTAGCTGTTACTTTCATCGAGCGTAACATACCTAATTATTTTTATGGTGACAATCTTTATTTATATCTTGTTACGAATGCGAGAGGTCGCTCGAGTTATAATCACGCGGCGGACGATTTAGACATTCAAAGTGTTTTGTATTTTTTATTGCACAATATTCTGCCTTGGATCGGGATTCTATAGAAGATATAAGGGAGAATACTTGATAAGCATATTTGCCGCTCTGTTCCACGATCGATTCCCTCGAAGTCATGAATGCGAACAGCTTCTTCACTGTCGAGTGAGTCCTTTCTCTGCGCCGAGATACGCGATGTGTCCCGCGGATAGACACATCTGGTAATCGCGCTTTGCGTATACGGCGTTTCCGCGGCGTGAATCGAGATTGATCCGGGCACAATGCTCCCCAGGACGGGACGCTCCAGATCCGAAAGTGCCCGTGTCTACGTCGAGACGTCTGCGCTTGATTGACACCCGACAGCGCCACTCGAAACAGTCAAAACATTTCACCCCGTGTCGCGCCGAGTCTGGCCTTGACGCTTCGTAGCAATGCCAATCATCCTTCTCCGGGCGGATTCACTGTTATCCGTAAAACGGGGGATTACTCGGCGGTATACACCCGGACGCGTTCGACAATATTTCTTTTCATGTCACTCTCACTTATGAGAGACCATCAGGTTTCAGAACGACTTCCGCGATCAGTTACGTATACGTATCCCCCGAATGAAAATAGACGATCGTGCACACAGCATATTGACCATACGCTGTTGCACGAGTGCGTCCATTTTCCATATGAGTGCAACAATTCGTGTAACGGAATATTTATAGATGTCGTGTATTCCGATCCTTCAAACGATCCACGAGATCCGACAAGATTTCTATATGTTATTTCCCTTTATTTTAAAACGCTTTATTGCAATGTCCTATAATTTTTCACGTATCTCACTGAAATATTCTATAATCCAAGAGCGGAAAAGTATTTCGATGAAAGTAGCGAGCGAGATATATCGCGTCTTATCATCTAACATTCTACGAGTTGGCTTTTACCAATCGATAATACTTCACGACCAATAGAACACTTGTAAGTTGCGCTACAGTTTCCGCGTGCTCGCTCTCTCGTGTACTCGATAATCCGCAGACGTGAACGCGAAGGATCGAAGGGGATAAGGCCGTTTGTCGAATGACGGCCGATAGATTCTGCGATACCCACGATGCGCGCCCTGGCGGGACTAGCGTGATCGCAGATCGTTGATTATCGTCGGATAGCCCGCACAATGCATTTGCTCTTTCGTGTTGCAGTCGCCGACTCAACAGGAGGTACTCTCGGCCCTGAAGAGACGTCTGGAGCAGACCAGCGTACCGCTCTTCCCACGGCATCGCCTTCGCATGCTCTCCAAACTCGCCGAAGGCGCCTTCGGAACGGTAATTGACATTGTTATTACACAATTACACCCCACGAATAATAAGTATATATTCCCAATTAGACACGGGCAATGGATAGATCGATAAACTATCCATCAGCGAACCTTGATTAGTATAACGTCTGTTACGCTAATAAATCGCACGGGCGCTTGATTTTTTTGCGTGATTGGGCACCTGGGGTGATTTTTACACCCAATTAAAAATCATTGTTATTAATTACATCTCGTATATTTTTTATTGTTCTATAATTTATTAGTATTTGATAGTGATTTATTAGTGATTTTCAGTACTTAAGGATAATATAGATTTATTCAACATTATCTATATATATATAAGTACCGTCGTCTGTATGTATGTATGTCTGACCGCGAACTGCTCATTCGTTAGTGGACCGAATTTTTACCAAGGGTACATGAAATAGGGGTAGAATTTCCCGGGGAGTGCCATAAAGTGTATAGTTTTTTGTTGCCGATTTTCTGGAAACCGGTTTTTTTAATTTTTTCAATTTTTTGGGAAATATTGACCGAATCTTAAAGAATTAAATATGAAGTAGGGGTAGAATTTTTCGGGGAATGCTACACTCAGAGAAAAAATTTGTACCAGCAACTATAATTTTTTTTGTTAAACCGACTAGAAATTTGTGGATAAATAGCGCCTCAACTATGTATAATATAGTTGTAATAACAACAATAAATAAATTATTTAAACTACAAGAAAGTAGTGGCATTAACGAAAAATATATTGTGTATGCAAAAGGTATGTTGTAGTAACATGAATAATTATTCATTGTAGTGATATCAACATAATTTTTAGAGTTGTCTAATAAAGAATAATTTCTTATTTGTTAAACTAAAAGATTTATAATTAATATACCTAGGCGACTAGCGCCTGAAAATATCTGTTTTGGTCCCGTAGGGGGTCTCCTTATATACAGGTTGGTGCGGAATTTTGAACTCGAGAGAATGTACGGGCGATGCGACGCCTAGCGGCGTCGATGCAATCTATTTATAATCCAAAATTGATTAATATATATGTGGGTGAACATACCCTGACTGGCGAACCTTAGAAAGATCGCTGGAAAAACCCTGCTGAGCGACCCTAGTTATAGGAATCGATGTTGAATTTTAAACACGCAAAAGTATACTGGCGATGCACAGCGTAGCGGGCGCGAGCCGAACTCTCTCGCCGCGCGAGTCCGCGCTGTCGCCCGCACCAGCTTCTGGAAGTATGCTACACAACAAAAAAATATTTGTCTAAACAATAAGTCAAGGAGTTGTCTAAACTTGAAAAATGTTATTTTCATATCTTGTTTTATGGAGTCTATATAACTATAATAATTATAGTTGAGGCGATATTTAACTTTCAACTAATAGTTGACAAATATTGTTTCTGTGACTATACTTTTATAGTATTCAGTACTATTTAGTTCCTATTACTTTGGAAAACTAGTTACAAGTAGTTAAACTGCAGAGTTGCCAAAAAAATAGTTGCCACAACTATTTAGATTTCTCTCAGTGTATAAAGTATATAGTTTTTTGTTACCGATCTTTTTGGAAACCGGTACCGAAATTTTCCAATTTTTCGGAAATTAATTAATTGACCGAATCTCAAAAAATTGTATATGAAACAGGGGTAGAATTTTCTGGGGAATGCTTAAAGTGTATAATTTTTCGTTACCGATCTTTTTGGAAACCGGTTTAGAAATTTTTCAAATTTCTCGGGAAATATGAAATAAGGGTAGAATTTCCCGGGGATTGCCATGATGTGTATTTTTCGTTACCGATCTTTTTGGAAACCAGTTCAGAAATTTTTTCAATTTCTCAGGAAATAATTGATTTTTTTTTAACCGGTTACGAAGTTTTTCCAATTTTTCTAAAGGGGTTTCCGATTTTTGTTTAAAAAAATGTACGTAATTGTTCTAATTTCTTCAAATTTTGAGATATTAACTGAATTTTTTTAGAGATAATTTTTCGTTATTTTCTTAAAAACAATGCCCAAATTTTTATAATTTTGTAATTAAAATTTTATAATTTTTCGGAGATGGCAAAGACGTGTATAATTTTTCATAATCGATTTTTTGGAAACCTGTTTCAAAATTTTCTAATTTTTTGAGGATGGCTACAATGAGTTTATAGAAAAATTGCTAATAATAAAAGAGTTTTCGATTTCTGTTCCAATTTCCGTAAATTTTGAGATATCAAGCTGAATTTTTTTTATGGATAATTTTTATAGATAATTTTTCGTTACCGATTTTTGTGGAAACCGGTTACGAAATTTTTTAAATTTCTCGGGAGTTAATTGATCGAATTTCAAAGAATTGTATATGAAATAAAGGTAGAATTTCCTGGGGTTTGCTATAAAGTGTATAATTTTTCGTTACCGATTTTTTGGAAAACCGGTTACGAAATTTTCTCAACTTTTCGGGAATTAAAAAAGAATTCGAAGATGTAGGTTAGAGTTTGAGGAGAAAGAATATTTGGGTGCTCCTAATTAATGAGTGAGTTTGGGGAGAGAGGCGCGGGCTCAAAATCTAGTCTTATAAAAAGTAAGAACAAACAAAAAAATATTTAAAAAAATGAAAGAAGCACATTAAAATTACTGTGACGTAAATTTCATTTTTTGATATTGAGGTGTAAAAACCCCAGGCGCCCGTTACCAAGTTAATGCTGATGAAACTTTAACTTTAGAAACTTGCAAAAACAGCTTTGTGACATTTGTCATCTAGTATATTATAACTTATACTCTCTAATTTGTTTTGAAAATTATCTGGTGTAATTTTGAGAGATATGGAATTACTTTAGTGTAACGTAGAAAAATGTTACGCCTTACGCCGTTATAACAATTAATTTATCAGCGTTATCCGTTGCCATGTATAATTGTACACGAATATAAAGCAAGTTCGCCCTATCCCGCGTGAATTTGCGCGATGTGTCGCAACTCCTCCGTCGACGATCGCGAAATCAATCCGTTTGTTGGCCGCGCGGCGCAGCGCGCACAGGCAATTCAACGTGCACAGGATGCGCAACAATACGTCGATTAATGAAGTGCCCGGGACGCGTTATTCTTCGCCGGCACAATGGCGCCTCGTCGGGGTCGTCGAGGATAATCAGTTTAGGATGCGTTAGAGCGGCTAATAATTCCCTTTTGTTTCCTGCCTCGGGTACCAACGCGTCGTTAATGATGACAGGCGAGCAGGAGGAGGAGGACGAGGAGTAGTAGGAGGAGGAGGATCGCCGAAATGTTCGCTCGTTCGTTTCGCACAGTTCGCCAGTTGCCGCGTCAGACTTCCGTGGACGCGGATGCATCCGCATATGCAGACGCGATCGTGCGAGACTTCCCACGAGTACGCAAGATCGGTCACGTCGATCTCGAGTCCCGGTCGACTTGCGAGATCGTCGAATCTCTTACGCGGAAATCGCAAAAGGATACAATCGTAATGTGTTACGCGATGCGTACGACAATCGATCATTTTTTTTACTTCCGTTCTAGACTTGTAGGCTACGATTACTACGGCTCAGAAAGTTCTCTGAATGTAGTTTTACATATTATCGGTTAATGAAAAGACTATCATAATCTCATCATAATTTTATCATAATCTTAAAGTAAGGGAAGGATAAAATTGCAAGACAGACTTTTCTTGGAACTATAAAATATGAGAGTAAATTGTGTGTATTTCTCTTGGTTTGTATTTATTTAAATTTTACTGTATTGCAAAAGAATCTGCATTTTCTTTAAAAATAATACGCTAAGATTAAAAACAGAGAAGAACCTTTGTTGTATAATTGAAAAACCAAGTAAAAATTACTGATCTTGCAAAATTGTTATTTATCTAAACGGATAAAATATAATCGATAAATAAAATTAGCCAAGAGTTGACTTTATGCAAAATCACGTACGACGAGATTTCACCAAAATTACAACAGAATTTCAGTTATTTCTGCAAAATTTACCCCGATCATGAGTAATTTCCATGCATGTACATAACGCAATTCAAACAAATTATGCATATAAAGGTATACGTGGCGGAAGCTGAAGGGATTCCGGAATACGGAACGACGACTACCCTCGGCAAGCGACTCGTCGCCGTCAAGTTTTTACTGCCGGAAGCCAGCGAGAAGGAAAAGTGAGTATACACGTCCATATGGAAGCCGAAATTTGCATTCTGTTTCGTTATGCCATGGTGACGCTTGATTGAACGAGAGCATGCCTTTCTCTAACACGTTTCATTTTCACGTGTACAACGATAAACTTTTTACGTCCATTATGTGGAGACGCGTTTCCATGTCTGCTATCCGATCGCATTCGCGACTTTTATGCATCATTATTGATATCGACCGACATACAGATCATAAGTTACTTCACTCCCGGAACAGATACGATCGATAGTCAACGTTAAAAAAATGCGATCCAGGCTTATCGTGAGACAAATTGATCGTAAAATGTTAGATGAAGAAGTACACTCAGATTTAGTAAACTTTTTATGCATTAGTTAACATTTCTATGCACTAACATAAATATTAAAGGATGAAATTTAAACCAATACCTTGAGATAAATAACATTTTGTTATTTTTAACTACCATGTGTGTTAAAATTTATTATTTTCACACAGAACAGTAATATTATTTTAACTCTATTTTAGTTAAATTAACGTTGTTTTAGTTAACTTAATGACTAAAATTGAATAGGAGTTGAATGGCGACCTATATAGGAATGGTTAAAAACGACTAAAATTGAGTATATTTGACTCAATTTGTGTATTATTTGACACTACGAATGGATAATAGTGCATTCTCGGAATACACATTCGAAATATATCTAGAGAAATATTTCGGCCATTGCGCGCGCGTTAGTTGAAAACAATTTTCAGCTCAATAGCCCACGGTATCGAAATTTACATAAGAGGAAGTATTTTCGCGAGATGGAACCGGGAGTTCGCGTAACAGCATAAGGCACACGTCCAAAAATGCGGAAAAAGTGGGCGGCAAACTAAATTATACGAGAGCGACCGTTCTCGTGGCAACAGCACGTGATACATCGAATTTGGAGATAGAGAACGAGCAGTCCCCGTCTGTGTTCTCCGAATGCACGCGACGACCCGCGTCGCGGCGCGACGTCCGCCGAGGAAGCCCCGCGGCGGCGAAACGTCCGGATATACCGTTCCCGGACGATCGTTCTCGCGACTATCTCGCGTCAGACATCAGAAAAAGGCCAGTTCGATTCCACGAATGGAACGGATTTGCATACAATGACCGGGAGGGAGATAGGGTATCGGGTCCGACTGTGGCGCGCACCACGGGCCGATGTTGCGCGGAACGAAGGGCGGGAGACCTCGTAGCGGAGATGACAAAGCTTCCCACCGACGAACATCGACGAAAATCGACGGCACTCTCCATTGGATACCGCACCGCCTGGTGTACACTCCTGGCATCGAAGCCGAAGAGAAATGTCGTCGACTCCGTCCACGGAGCAATCTGTCGGACGTCTCAGACGACGTGAACGGAGAATAGCGAGCAATTTGGCTGATTTAGCGTGCAGTAGAGTGTGTCTACTTGTACGAGGAGTTTCGCTGCATATTGCAATTCCGTAACAGAGTGCACCGGCATGATGCATCACGTTGTGTGCGAAGTGATTGCACAAGCATCTTACGAAAGTGATTAATTTATGTATTGTTAACCATTACCTCAATCGACACGTTTTATCGACGTTTCGCTATTTAGTTCCGTGAGAATCAATTTTCACATAATCAATCCATTCGTTAAACCTTTACAAAAATGCGAAACTCAAGCGAGAGCTATAAATAGGTATCTGAACATTTGAAATCACTTAAATAACAAAGGGCTTAGAGCCGTGACAGGATGTTTGTGTCGATAATAATATTTCTGTATGATTTTTATTTTATATTACAATTCAGTGAACTGCGCGCCGAATATTTTTTGGTCTTGAAACACACAGCTCTAAGTTTTGTCGGAACAACAAATCCACATACTTAAACCGATAATCGATTTAATTAATCGATGCTAATAATTAAGTGTAAAGGAATGTAATTAAAAGAAGATCAACTTTCAAGATTGCCGGAACAATCTCCGCGGACAAAAATCGTGACAATTCTGTCGATCCCGTATATATAACGACTAGATACACATACGGTTTCCGAGACCCGTCGTATTTTATCTCACGCGCAAGAAAGATCTTCAAAAGATCTTCGGTGTATCCTCAACATCCGCTCACGCAACAAGCTCCTATCGCGCGGATGGCTTATAGCATCTCGTGACTGCATCGGCGAGTTCGCCCGCCGCATCGAAACGCGAGCAACTGTTGCGACGTATGGGAACCGCAAATCCGCACTCTTAGGTACACCGTTAAATTTGTAGTGTCGAATTATACTCAATTTGAGTCAATGTTAATCATTCCTTCTACTTAATATGTCATTAATTTAACTAAACCAATGTTAATAACTAAAATGAAGTTAAAATAATACTGTTCTGTGTTAAAATAATAAATTTCGACACACATGATAATTAAAACTGACAAAATATTATTTAACTCAAGGTACACTGGCACTGGTTTAAATTTCATCCTTTAATAATGCATGCAACATGTCGCGAGAGATACCTCTTTGCCGCGTCAATTCGTTATTCTAATACCTATATTAATTACATTTTTACTGCATAATTAACTTTGTATTCTAATTTTGTTGAATATATTTGAGATTGATTTTTTTATTTATGCTGTTACGCGTTTTATCGATCCTTTTGCAAAATTTACATTGCCTACATACCATTGCGTACAGTCTAACAGGTGATCGTAAGGGTCTGTTACGCGATTATAAATAAAAAAGGTACAACGAGGGATGCTCGCATCCCCCGCTATGCTAACGACAGATAAGAAATGTTTTATACGCCATGCGTATCACAATGCGCAACTCGCGCGGTGATACTTTATTAAAAATAATGCATCGGCTCGATTGCTCCGATTTGTGTTCATTCGAGGCAAACGACGGATAGTAAAACTCCTGATGTTTAAGGAAAGCTCCAATGATCTTGTCTCCTTCATATATTACATATATTATAACGGTAACCCTCCAGAGTAACCTTCAAAAGGTTTTAGCCAGCTCGTTGTTTATTAAAAAGTTATTAACAAAATAAATTTGATGAGTAGAACGTAATTTTCTGACACATGTACATTTAAGAAAATATTTACGCACATACGTGAGCCGTACAATAATAAACCTTGTTTGTAAAAAATTTGGAAGTATATTTTTTGGTTATAAAATATAACCTAACTCAACCCCTATATCATTGTAACATTAATGTTGCATGCAACAGAGATGCTTCGCATCCTGTTCTGCCCAAAAATATATTTACAAATTTTTTATAACAAGGTTTATATCATTGTATTATTTCGCAATTTATCTTGCAGAATTTTTATTTCAAAAAATATACGATTTTGATGAACGCATCGATGCTTTCTTTGAGGTAATGAGTTTTATGTGTCCATTAGATTGATCAAATATAATTTAAAATTTTCGTTTTGTACGTATATTATTTTGTACATTAAAGAATGTATTATATAGAATATATTATTATAAGTATATCGTTTTGTTATGACAATTACAAAAGAATGGCTTTATTTTTTTTTAACAGTACTTACTATTTGTATGATAAAATTAAAAACTGTATAAAGTATAAAAAACAAGACTACTTTTTTTTGTCCTTTTGATTCATATCGTATATTATAGAATTCTAACTTTTTTGTTAACAACTTTTTAAGGTAGTTGTATCACAAAACCCATTTTCATAGGAATCTTTTAAAATTTGAACAGCATATTAATGCAAACACGCTCTACACACACGTGGAAGTAGAAAAAGCTTGACTATACCAAAGTTGAAATAATGGAAATCAAACTTAGCACTTTTTACATGTACTAGACACTATACAGACGCGCGCGCTTCGCGCGCGCCATTTAGCTTTAACATTATGCTATTATATAATAATTGCGACACGACGCGGGACGATTAACCTCGCGACACGACGCGAGCTAGCTGTCACATCATGACACACACGACGCACTACACGCACGAAACTCGCCACACTCCGCGATGACAGTCCCTCACGGGATGAAGCAAGCTACGGCGCGGCAATCAATCGAGATAGCCAATCGGCATCGCGGAAAAGAGGCTTCAATTTTACGATACAAACGAAATTCACTCAGGTAACACGCCTTTTTTAAAAGTGGAAGTGGATCGTAGGACGAAAACGGCTTCCTATATCACGTTTGTAATTGTAGCGATCAAACTACTCATAGGATTTTAATGAAAAACAAAGAGATGACAAAAGAGACTTGTAAAAATATTCTTACAAAAGTACAAAACCCTTATCTATTTAGTTTTGAAGCTATTGTTACACAAAGTACACAATTTCTCATAGCGATGGACGCATACGACAGCTAACCTGTAAAGATCTTGCAACACTGCGCATATGAAGATTAGATATATATGTAGTTCAGACATTGCCGCTAAGGCTTTAAGTCTTTTCTTTAATACTTTTTTTAAATTAATCTTCCTTTGTAACGTTCAACAGACATTTTCGCTTCTATTTCTTCTATTTATTCAAAATAACCTCGATAGCATACTGGTATACTGACATTACTGACGCGAGTGAAAACAGTAAAAACAGTACAAGCTCAGTCAAAAGTTTTACACAGATAAGTAGAGTTTTCATACATTATCGTATTGCAGTGTGACCATTATTTTTGATTAATACTGTCGCGATACAACTACCTTAATAAACAACGAGCAACGACTAAAACGTTTTGAAGTTTACTTGTTATATAGGATAATCTTCATAATATAAAAAATGTGAAGGACAAGGTCATTGGAGGTGCCTCCCCTAAACAAAAGTTTTACTCGACGGGTTATCACTCGTTATCTCTGCGAGCTATCGAAATCACAATGATAAAGTTTCGTCACTTTAGAAGTTGCTAATTTGTTAAGATCTATTTGCTACGCGCAAGTTCCACTTTTACTTCAAGAATTGTAACTCAAGAAGTTATAATTAAATCCAAGTGCAATTTTTTTAATGCTTTTATACCGTTTCTCGAAAGTTATCCGTTAATAATAGCCTTAAGTTAATAATTATCTTACGTACAATGCTCTTGTAGATTTATATTTATTATAATGCCATTAAGATAAAAATCGTTGTCGAGAAGACAAAGGATATTTTCGCAGTCATAGATCGAAATTAAACTACGAATTCGGCATCACGTTCGCGGTACCGTGAACACCACCAACGCATGCAGAATCGGGGGGATTTCTGTATAACCGCCGATGTCAGCGGCACAAGAGGAGGGAAGATTGAACCGCGAATACGAACTTTCGGCTAATGCGAAGTCATTAACCTGCCCTAGGAGCGGCGCCGCGGTAACGCTAAACGGGCTATTTTGCATATAGTGGCCAACGACAGGACCATGTGTTTCGCCCACGCTGCCGGGCTCGAAGGACTATCGCGCGCGACGCCAGCGGGATTCTTAGTTTACGGGGAATCGATACGCAGGGCGCCGCGTGCCGCAGTTTTGTTAACGGTCGCGTTAAACTATCACGCGAGAGTGCCATTATCAAGCCGATCGTAAGTAAGGCCGGAGTAACGATGCTGTGCGTGGAAAGGCGCGTCGCGCATATGTGTACTCTTGTACTCTATAGCGCTGGAAAGCGCCTTCTCTTATCCGGGAAGTACGCGACCCAACGAACTGGACGGCGACTGCGGTCGTTAACGTTGTACGAGCGTCGGGATCACAATGCAGAGAGCGCGCAACGCGATATGAGAGTCATTATCTGGGACGGACAACGCGGTGATTCTCGTTGCTTTAACGCGATATCAAATTTACTTGCCGTTGCCTTGTTATTTTGCACATATATTTATATATTTCGTATTTCTCACATATCTAAACACATGAATATACATTTCGTGTCTCGCGTTTTAATCCTCCGTCTGTATACGTGGGTCTACGGCGTCCGAGCCAAAATGATTTCTGCTCGTAACTGTAAAACTTGCAAGTCTGCCAGAAAATATTAAATAAACGATGTTTTTCAAAATGACTATAAAATCGTCAACTGTAATGTAGACAGATGTTTCATGAATTTTTTCAGATATTTAAAAATACTTTAAGGTAGAGAAAAATAGCGTTTGTAGCGTCGAACGTGACAGACCCACGTGTACACTTCGAGGGTGCAAAAGAACGGAGGATTGAAGATCTGTCTTCAAAATTGTATAACATAATCACCTCAATAATTGATGCAAAATCGAACATGAAATTAGACTTCTTTCATTCTGAGAAGTTTCCGCGAGATTAATTAATTACAGTATTAGTAATAAGTCACCGAAGAACTGGGTTAATCCCGCACAGGTTGGACTTCCAAAGAGACGTGAGGATTCTGGCAGCTCTGGAAGATCGCAATATCGCACGGGTCCTGGGCGCCTGTTACCGCGAGGAACCGTATTGCGTGGTAATGGAATATCTGGAGCACGGGGATCTTTGCCAGTTTCTCAAGACGCATATCACTGCCGAAGACGCGCATTCCATGCCAATTGGCGTCAAAACACTCAGGTAACTTTCCAGCGACACATTTTGGGATTAATCAAGGGTCGGCACTCGGTATAATTCTCCTCATATACGACTAATTTTTCTTAAAATTGTTAATTAGTGTTAATGCCTATTAATCGTTAATTTTTAAATTTGAGACAAATTACTCTTGGATTGTCGTGATAATCACTATTTTTTGTTCTTTTATTTCGTTAAAATTACTGTATCGCCCTCAATTATTTTCCTGCTGACTTGTTATTTTATTGATATAGTGAAAGAGCAATGTTTATCAAAACATTCGCTGTCGTTTTTCCGAAAAAAATGGCACGCGTGCAGGATGTTTCATGTAACGATCGCTGCGGAAATTGAACGTTCCCAAATAAAAGCAACGCAATATCTTCAAAAAATATCAAATTGGAGTACCTTTCGTGAATAAAATTGTGAAAAAGTCATGAAACGCACATATCTATGCGTTTGAAAGCAATATCCTGCTTTGTTAAAATATATACATATATACAAGTATATATATATATTTGGCTAATGCGATATAAAGATTTGTGATCATTATATGAGACGTTCCCTGAAAACGCAGCTAAATATATTAATGTCATGACGATTAATCTTCTCATTACCTCGCATCAAAGTATTTAAAAAATCCACGATCGCGTCTTTAGCGACGATAGGTATATAAATTTCAATTTGCATATACCGGATTCCTTGTAGCACCAATAAAATGTCGCGGTATCGACCTTTTAATTTTGCATGTTGAAACTACTGATATTCCGCCGAAGTCTCATGAAAGATAAAAAAAATGTTGAAATCGACTAATCAAATGCTCTCAATACTTCTAAAAATATCAAATGTCGTAATATGTACGCCTATATACATATGTATTCTGCTTGAAAATTATCAGAGAAATGCATATTGTCTAATCTCGAGTCGTTGAGATCTCGAAGACCGTCATATCGTGTCATAGAAAATTGCAATTTTTTTAAGAAAGAAATTAATTACATTATCTAGCTGTACAAATCCGAGAAGAAATTCCGATTCTTTATTAACTTTGGCATTGTTCGATAACTCGTCTGTTGTAATGTTAACGCTGAGATATATGAGTATACTACCATAATACGTAGATATGGCAACGCACTGTTGTTACCGAGCTTAAAGTATTCAAGATTACGGCAGCCGAAGTGCTGCAATCGTCTCTAACGAACCGGAGCTCGGTTTCGTTTCCAACGAGCTGCCGTCGCTGAAGTTAACACGCAATAAGTTTCTCCCGCACGCCGCGCGCGAGAGAGAGAGTTTGACGCGTTTATTAATCGTGAGCGACGCACAGCGTCCTGACGCAGCCTCCACCTTCCGGATTCCCGTCGACCTACACCTCGGAGGAGAATCCCTCCGAGGGCGACGGCGGCGGTCGGGCGTATTCAAGTGCGCGCGAATACCTTAACTTCGTCGTCAGGAAACTCACGCCGCTTCGTCGTCGTTTCAGTTTCAACTGTCTCATCTACATGGCGGCGCAGATCGCATCGGGCATGCGGTATCTGGAGAACCTGAACTTCGTTCATCGGGATCTGGCTACTAGGTGAGTACAATGGGACTTTGCCGAAACAAATCTCCCGCGGATTCGCTTTCATCTCTCGAGAATAAACTTACGTATACGGGGAGGCTTTATCGTCCCCGACCGGTATTCACTATGTATCTAAACACTCGGGTTCTCGCCTTCGATTTGCATGGTATTACGATGTATATTATACATTAATAGTATACATTAAGCGACACAAGCTTGTGGGCAAACGATCGTTATTAATTCTCTATAATTTTTTTATATATTATAATTACATGAGAATTTTTTTATATATTAATTATTTGATATAATTTTAACCTAGCTCGCTACACTCCAGTGGACCGCTGAACGTTTTTCGGTTTTCTAGTTTTTACAATTTTCTAGTTTCCTTATAACAAGTTCAGTTTGTTCAAATCATTTTTTTGGCCTGATATGATCATAAACATCTTATTCAAAGTCTGGTATTTCTAATTTCTACAGTACAAGCTTAAAAATATTATAATTAGAATGAAAATGACAATGTGACGAAGTCGAGTGGTCTCACAGACCGGAGTGTGGCGAATGAAAGACTCGAAAATAAGTATGGCTAGCTAGGGTTAAAAATCAAGATTATATTGCATACCTCTTTTTATCACATCTGCTATAGACGGTTGTGTGTGTAAAAATCTTGTTATACTCCGCATGCGATCCTTAGATTAAACGAAATTGGAGAACGAGAGTCAGAGATTTGAATACAGACGTGAATATGAAGCTCTTTCTCGCGCGAATGCATCGACGCGTGTCGAGGAGATGTAAGATTACAAGGGAATCTTCTCGGTCGACGTGACGCGAGGAAAATTACAAACGCTTCCGTGGCGCGGCAACAATATGCAGCAGGATTTATAATTCCTAACGCGCATCCCTGGAGATGATTCCCGTCGCGAGGGGAACCGGTTGAAAAACGCGATGTATATCCCCCGCCCCGCCGCGCGCCGTACGCGATTTTTATTGAAAAGTAATTTCGAAAGTCGGTCGCGAAATCAAACGCACGGAAGAGGTATATGGCGCGAATATCGCGGCATGGTTTTTACGTTATTGCGGAAGGGATAAATGGGATCCGTTGCCGCTCTTGATTTATCTCCTGACGTAAATTCATTCATCCCTCTCCCTCGTGGGGGGCGTACTTTTTCCCCGTCTCGCTTTCCGCTTCATCGGGCTAACAAGACTCTTCGCGATCCGTGCTATCGACTTTAAATCGTCGCGAATCGAGATTATCTTTCGACGAATATGTGCCCCCTCTCGCTGCGATCTCGCTCGAGAGATTGTGCCGTCCGCTTTAATTGGCACAGTCTAATAACTAACAGAGATGTTCTCGCGGTGTGTGGTTGTACATCGGGAACGTGTATAGGTATACGTGTGGAGGGAGGATTTTACCACGTCGAGAACCTGTTAAAACGGGAGACGGGGGCACCGATATCGATTCCCTCCCCCCCCCCGTTACACTCTCACGATGAAATTGAATTATACCAACCCCCGCAGCGCATTTCCATAAGCCCCAAAACAAACGGAGCCGGGAACCGCATGGGAAATCAACGATTTGTTAGTGAATCGTCGCGAGGAATGCAGTGAGAAGAGCAGTTTGCCAACGGTAGTCCGGGCCTCGGTGTGTAGAAAATTTCTACGTTTTATTTTATTTTATTTTATTTTTATTCGACCGCGTTCAATCGTCGTAACTATCTCGGATCAGCTTCTAATATTGTGTCCCTCTCAGACTGCTCGCGGAGTGATTCCTCCGGAGTTTTTCGCAGGAGCAATCCCAAAGTGCGCGCGACTTCGAGCACACAATAGCTACCTTTCTCAGTCCAATATAATGGCCTAATATTTGTCACGTTCGCGGTCGATTTTTCTTTCAAGCACTAAAAGGAATCTCCGCCCCTCATACGCATTAAGTATAAATCGAGATTGTCGGGGAAGGGCCGATTATGGAGATATTGTCTGAAAAAAAAGGAGCGCGTGTATTTTTTATACATTTCGATCCAAACGCGTCTTAAACTTAAAAGCACAAGAGGTTAAAATTTAAGAAGCCTGTGCTAGTAGTGAAATTTTAATGCTGGAACTTGCCGATTATTCTCCTTGAATTTTCCATTGACTACGAGTAACGCGCAGACGCCAGTAAAACTAATGAAAATACTGCGTTAATAAAATGTGGGCTGCATCGATCTACCTCGTAGATATTATAATTTTTGAATCAATTTCACAAATTGCGTAATTTATTAATTAATTATTCTACCGCGACACACTTTGAAAAGTACTTTATATATTTTTTCTTCGTACTCTCTGTATGCTTTCAAGCGAGCTCCATTTAATTTCCAAGCTCTTCTCAAATTGCATAAGTAAATTTATGATGATCTTCATACGCCGCACATAATGTATACAGTGACCGCAGTATCGATAATCATCGATCTACGAATACAAAGTACACATCGTATATGGAATGAAGTCCATCTACGTGGCTGTTATTGAAATGCAATGGCCATCTCGCCGAATCGATAGGACGTTTAGATGCACATATGTGCATATATGTATATCTTCCGCATATACACACGCGGGCGCACATTCGCGCACAAACCGCCGAGCTCTCGTAGCACGTGAGACCTAGTTTCCGGCTGGACAGTGTCTCTCAAACGCCTCGCTCGTAAATCTTAATGTAATAGCGAGAGACACTTCCTGCGAAGCTTTCATGAACGATATCAGCCCTGTCAGCATTCCTGAGGGCTTTTGACACCGATTCGACCCGTTGATTGCAGAAATATCGTTCAGTAGTGTCGTCAGAACTTTTGTGTCGTCCCCTGTCTCACGTACTTCACCGTCATGCACAATTAAACCGATAAAATGTTTATTTTAAGATTAATAGAAATATGAAATATATAAGTAATTTGAAATGTATAATTCAGAGTTATAATTTTAAATTTATACTAATAATATGTAGGTACTGTAATATGCTGGTTGATGTTCGAAATGAGATATTTAATTTACGCTGTTTCACATTTTCATGACAAAGTGCTAATGGTGTTGCAAATTTCAAAATATTTTCGTGGAACGTCGACGTCTGCGAGATCGCGGCGGCCAATGCTTTGTTTAAATTTTTAACAAGCTGCGCGCGGAATTTTTATAAAATTTAAGCGACACTCGCGTCAAAACCGCGACGCGCGACGCGTTATCCCTCTCTGTGCTTTTGCGAGGAAAAAAGCGCGGGGATACGATCCGATCGCGTTGCAAATAGATCGATGCCTTTTGTATAGGCGCCGGGATTTAATCAAAATTTAATCAGAATTTAATGGCACACCACCGCTGAACTTCCACTTTGATGGCACACGTCAGCGTGACGAACCGACGATATTCAGTGAAATACGCGACCGTATGGGAATTCCACCGTGGGGCATAAATTCTTCCGTGACTGGCGGCGTCAAAAGAGAAATGGACATTGCGGGTATCAATGGTGCGCGCGCGATACTTTCAAAATGCATTTTTACCCTTTCCTATTCGAAGGACCTTTGCGCGCGCGATTTATCTATCGCGCGATAAACGAGAAAGAGTGAAGCGAAACATTTTTATTCATTTAAATCGAACCTGGCGTGGGATTCTCCGTGCTATAGAGTTTAAAACGTTATCGGAACCGGTCGGTCGGGTATACCGAGAGAATGTTCTCTACAGACTCCTCTCTCGCCCGAGACAAACTGCCAATCCATCGTAGCCTCTTATTTCATTCGCGAGCGCGCGGTATAGCTATAGAGTCATTGTCGGGGCCAAGTCGAGTGAAAAAGGAGAAAGGGATCGATTGCTGATCAAACGGTAATGCAATTCAATTGGCTCGAATGGAAAAAGAATACCGACGAATGAGAAGATCGATTGCTCTATGTAATGCTTTAAAGATGGAAAAGATAGTGGATTTGCAGTTACGAGGGGTGTTTGTCCAACCGGAAGAAACATCAGGATCGGTGTTGTATACGCTCGATGGTATAAAATCTCGCGTTATAATACGACTCTCGCCAATAACGCTGATAATGTTACTCTACTAATGTGCGACATCGGAGATTGGCGATAGCGTGGGCATCCTGCGAATAAACGTGCTGCTCTAAAGGAGCAGGAATAGCAAAAGCCCTGGCATTCTGTATTCCAGCGTGTAGGTATTTCGCATTCCGGTAGAAGAGATTTCCTTCATCCTATTTTGAATCGCAAATGTACCGGACGAGTTTTCTTTCGTTTTTCCTTTCTGGCAACAAGTGTAGAGATAGTACTCAATATTAATATGTTTAATATTTTTTTACCATTGTGTTTGTTACATTCAAAATATCACGAGAATTTAGTTTTGCAATCTCTAACTTCCATTTAGCCAAAAATATGATATGAACATTTCTGCTCTTCCGCGGAAAATATACGTTCTGCAGATGCTTTACTAAGAGATCCCAAAATACTTCCGTTCGTATTCTCTCTCTCTCTCTCTCTCTCTCTCTTGCAGCAAACCTGTAAGCTTCTATTTGCAGCGAGTATAGGCAAACTTTAATACTAAAATGTTGCGCGTTTTTAACTCGTAATGCAATCATTCGGCCTCGCCGATCCCAACATTGGGATTTAGAATGCAACTTCGAGCGATAAAGGAGGCCGCACGATTCTCCTTATCCACCCTCGAGAATACCGAAGGCTGGCGCGTAGAAGAATTTTATTCTCCGCTGACGAGAGCTTACGCGTTCGAACAACCGGTTAAAAATTCAAAAAAGACGGCTTTTCTTCCGCGTCTCGGCTTCTTCTCTGCCGTATTTCTGCCTGAAAAACCTTTCGATGGTTCATTTGTTTCCTTCGCAACGCATATCCAATATTCAACTTTCAATCTAACTTAGGGGGAGAGGGCCGCCGAACGTCCGACTTCAATGTTGATACGCTAGAACCTCGACTTCAATTATACAACCGCGTCAATCAGCCAAGTACACTTAACGTTTCTATTCCTATTGACAATGGTGCCCGTGCTTGCGTCAAATGGCCAAGTGATTCCGAGTTTAACTTCGACTTGCAACTTGCACAATGACAGAGGTAATTCTCTTTATCCACCGAAGAAGTCGTCGCGAGAGCTGAATGTAGACATTCCGCTCTCCGCCAAGAAAGCCTGCCTTTGTTCCGCTTTCGATTACAGACGCGAAGGAGGCCTTTCGTCATATAGCTCGTTATACAGTCTGATTTCGGGCCGTTTTTTTCTTTTCACTCTTCTTTACATTTTCATAACACAACTGCAGCTGTAATGTCGCTGATATCCTCGTTCCTCAATAATAATAATTTTAAAATTCCGTTTTGTAACACGTAAAATAAAAGATAAATAAAATAAGATGAGAAACTAACATTATTTTAATTATATTCTATTATTATTTTAATCAACGAAGATTAAAATAATTGTTCTCTGATCTCATGAATTCTGAATAATTGCTGTCATAATCTCATGAATTATTAAAATTTAGATAGTAGAAATTAATGAGTTTGGCTTTTGCATAAAGTATAGTACTTTTCAGTGTATTAATATACATATTTAAGTAATATACGCGCAAAATTTCTATATATGTAGCAAAAAATATCTATTAATGTTTATAAATCTTTTTACAAGATATTTGAAGTCGTCAGACAAAATCATTTAAATTTATATCGTAATATCACGAATATAGTAATGTAATGCATAATAGATTACTAAAATTACTATTACAAATAATATATTAGCAATCAGCACTACTACCTAATCCAGAAATTACGCAATTAAAATTTTATAAGATATATAAATTTTACACAGATTTTGGACTTTTGGATCTTCGTCATCACGATTTATTATTTTTGATATTAATGTAAGCGATCAGAGTTCTAACCGTCAGTCTGCGGGGAACGGAGATCATCACACCTGATTTATACTGCAACAGCTTCAATGCGAAGCGTGAACGCGGCTTATTGCATTATCGTCGTACTCTACAATATAGGGAGGACCGGCCCCCTCCCCGTCAGTCCCATCGACGCAGTAGCCCGATGGCGAAGTAGCCAATAGCAATGATCGATAAAGCGCCCCTAATTAACCAGGTTCTGCCGCCAAATTGGAGCTTTGTTCCGGCGACGAAATTAATTGAGTCTATCTATTCCATACCCATGCGCTACTACGGAACAACATTTTGACTGGTCGTCGTCTCTCAGATGGCGAAGATTAGTTCGTCTTTAAAGTGAACTGGTCAATGTCTGGAGCTTTGAGCGGAAGTTGCATGAATGTCTATCCGTCTCTGAGTACTCCTCAGGGAAATGCTCGAATTCTATATCTCCAGTGGAACCCGCGCTCAAAGGACAAACGAGATGAAATATCAGACGCGTTCGCGATAAGAGAGATTAAGTAATTACATCCATATATTAAGATTATTATGTATGATGTACAGGCTGTTCTACAGGTCAGGTAAATAAAACTTCAGGGTCTTATAGGAAATTGAGTTAGGAACAAAAAAGTTCGTGTAAACATAGACCCGGAAACACTTCGTTGAAAAGTTATAGCTAATAAACTTCGAAAAATCACGTTTTTTTTATTATTTTAAAAAATAACCCTTTAAAACCTTTTATTCAATTGAAAAAAAAGCGAAATACATCTGAGGAGTAATTAAATAACAAACTAAATTACCAATTTTATTTAATTCTGATAAGGCGTACAGAAGAGAACAAAATAAAACGTCGAAAAAAGCAGAAACTTGAAAAAACCACCTTTCAACGATCTTTGTAAACTGTGCATTCGTAGCGTTCGCTTTAGCGTAACAATTAGCTAGTTATTTTTAAAAATTACTAAAAAATGTGATTTTTTGAAGTTTCTTAGCTATAACTTTTTAACGAAGCGTTTCCGGACGTATGTTTATAAGAACTTTCTTGTTCCAAATTCAATTTCTTATAAAACCCTGAAGTTTTATTGACCTGACTTAAAACACCAGTATAATATAATACTATAACTATCTCCGCGGATACTGTCAAACGGATGAATTGATATCAAGCCTTTCTCTCGTAGGAAACGATTTACGATAATGGCTGCACCATAATTCGACGCGGAGAAAGTTTATTCGACGCGTCGAGTATAATTGCATACCCGCGTGTATTTGGGCAGGAAACGCAGCCCGACCACATATGCAAGCAAATGTTACATGTAGACAACCATTCTCGCTTCCGGTTGACTGCCATGCACAGAATGCGTACGCGTATGCAGATTGGCGGGCGCGCTATGCGCCCCACGTACCACGGGCACGGCGAGAGATCAATCTGACTGCGCCTCGATCTTTCGTTGTCAGACAAGCCGTTCGGAAAAATATTCGATCCGGCTGATATCAATCCGGCACGCTAGCGCGTGCGAATCGCGGCGGAAAAATCGCTCCGCTCAGTTTCTAGAAATACTCGAGTTATCCTAAAGTCCGGGCGTTGTATTCCGATCGATTATACGGGCGCCGAGATCGACGATTCGCGAAGATTATCGAGCAGCGCGAAAATAAATGTAAAACGACGCGAATTTCTTCCCCCTCGACGCGATAACAGATGAAATAATTTCGCATTCTCCATACGTCATTATTTTGCTTGTAGAAACTGCTTGGTGGGTAAGGCTTATCATATCAAAATCTCGGACTTCGGCACGGACAACGAGCTATACGCCTGCGATTATTACAAGGTCGACGGAACTATGCCACTGCCGGTGCGATGGATGGCCTGGGAGTCAATATTTTTGGTAAGATATGAGACACTGCGTGCGGGAATATCTCATTCCTGCACGGCTTCGAGTGAGAAATCTCTCGCGCGTGCGGAATCGGCCATTCGTCGCACAGATGACGCGCGCGCAATAGGCCACTTTCCACGCACTTTGTAATATAAAATAGGGTGTGTAACACGTGCGGGTTGAGAATTGGACACGAGTGCGGAGTGGACGTACGAGCCGAAGGCGAGTGCGATCACCCGCACGAGTGTCCAATTCTCAACTTCCCGCACTTATTACACAAATAACTATAGTTGAACGTATTGAGATTAACAAATTTTTTTTCTCAGTGTACAGTGTACGTAATACAGGAATAACAAGTATAAAACAGTAATAAAACTCAAATATATTTGAATAATGAATTTTCTTCGCCAGTATATAGAATAACAATTAAGTAATTTAAATCGACTGACTGGCAATATATAACGTCTTTTCGATTTGACCATTGAAAAAACTATGAGCCAACTCGCTTTGTCGGATTCACACAGCACTCAGAAATTACATCACCCGACCAAAAGCGTTGGTCGAAATTAATAATGTCTTGATGATTGATCCGAAAAAGTGCTGTGTGAATCCGACAAAGCGAGTTGGCTCATAGTTTTTTCAATGGTCACATCGAAAAGACGTTATATATTGCCAGTCAGTCGATTTAAATTACTTAATCAAATATATTTCTCAATTATTTCGCAATTTCTTTCCAAATTTAATTTTGCAAATATTCCGTTAAGTTGATTCCTTATAATATTATAACATTGCTGTCTTACTGAAGTACTATTTAGAAATAAATTGTGCGAATATTTATCAATATTTACCCAAAGGTCTAAATTTCTACTAGTATTGTTGCAAATATTGAGACAATTGCAGAATTCCCAATTTCATCCAGATCTCGTCATATAATTTTATAAATATTTTCTTATCGGGGCGGACGGGGCGATAGGAATAGGGCTGTATTCTACCCACGGTATTTCGCAATATATCGAAATTGTTGGCTGGAAATGCTCGAGTAACGTGCGTTATGTCTGATTTCCAGGGAAAGTACACGACCAAGAGCGACGTGTGGGCTTTCGCGGTCACTCTCTGGGAGATTTTGAATCTCGGCAGACGTGTCCCTTACGAGCACCTGTCCGACGAGGAAGTGGTGCAGTGCCTGCGGCAGCTGCATCACGCTGCCGATTGCGGCAACGCCGGCAATCCCGAAGACAGTTGCAAGGAAGATTCCAGAAACGGCTTCGATTACCTGCCGCGACCCACCGCCTCCTCCAAGGACATCTACGATCTGATGCTCGAGTGCTGGCAACGAGAGGAGACCGAGAGGCCGACCTTCCGTGAGATATCGCTCTTTCTGCAGCGAAAAAATCTTGGATACGCTCCAACATCCTGATATTGAGCCCCGAATTTCAGCGAGCGCGACGTTCTTAATAGTCATACCGCGAATCGGAATAATAAGCTCGTTACCGAAATGGAACGACGAGCGTGCAACGACGGTCAACGTTCTCAGAGGAATTACGAGAACGAGCGAGTGTAGCGGTCGGGTGAGAGGAAGCGACTGATGAGAAAAGAACGAAGGACAATTATGTATCGCGACATCGAAATGATAAGTACAACAATGGAATTTTATTGTCCGTCAACGAAACGAGGGTGTGGAACTTGGAGTTTACGACAGGAATCGATCGTCCTTCAATTTCGTTTCGATTCGTATACCTTTTTTTCGGACAACGAGTATTAGCGGACATGAAATTAAGTTAGAATAGGTAGAAAGAGTTAAGTGCGGGCTTTGAGAATATCTTACGATATACCCGGATTTTTGTCGTACAAATAGTTTGGGGTGCCGCGAATGCAACTGATCTCCGTAGAATTCTCAGTAGCGAGAGACTGTTCGAGGCATATCTTATCGATTTAGAGCACGAGGGTGTTGGATCTCGACGCGAATACTCGCGGCGGAGTATCGCGCGAAGATCTATCCCCCGGGATAGGCATAGGCTCTTCTTCGAAGACGGGAAGAAAGACAGGAACGGACGCGAATTTGTAAAAACACGACAATCGGACGAGAGCGAAATAAAACCTGGCCCGTCGTAGATGACCGTTTGATGGAGATTGGACGTTTTTTGAGGACTGTGAAAGATCCTATCGCAATCGTCGGGAACTTAGGAGCAATATCATGTAACTGTAATACAGCTGTGAACATTCCTGCACGGATGGGTACCTATACTGCGCAATTAGACAATTACGCAAATAGGAAGAGTCGTTACTTAAGGAGAATAATTAAGGTTCCCTCGGGATTATATCATTTGGATTAAGGGTTTGATGACAAAAAAAAAAAGAAATGTGTGTGAATCACATTCAACGTACGGCAATATAGCAATTACGATATTAGACGCTACGGCACAACTGTTCGAGTTAATATCGTGAAGCATTATAACTGAGTGTGTTTTATGAACGTATGGGTGCCTATTTCCCTCCTTTTCTCTTTATCGCTCTCCTTTACTCTCTTTCAACGTATATTGTATCGCCCAGACACTCTGGGCCTATTTGTGAGACGAATCTACATGTGTGATTTACATCGCGAAATTCTTTGTCGTCATAGGACATATCGCGAAACGGCGAAATGATTATCGCGCATCAACGACGAATTGTCCGATAGTGTGGAAATTCAGTGTCTTTTCAACGCTGCTTTTGGTTCGTGTCTGAAGATCCAGATCTGTGTGGAAACGTAACGCACGTGAGAACGTTAAATTTCAAAAGCAGTCAAGTGACTGTAAAGATTTCGCGATAGTACATGTTTATTCGAACGAATATAGCTACCGCAATCGCAGTTAACGTGAATGGAATTTGTTAATGTCATAACATAGACGAGTATCATACATCGTAAGCATAAGGTAGAAGCGAAGGGTAATGTTTCACCTATTCTGCATTGGAAGACGGTAATAGACTACGTATCATGACTATGACACATCATAATTGTAACTTTATATGATAGGCGGGATCAATAAAATTAGAATATTGTATATATAGGCATATCGTAGTAAGGAATGTCATCATCACATTTTTTTAAGAGTGACGGGTGAAAATCGAATTATCTTTGAGATAGCGCTAACACGCTCGCTTGTAATTTGATATTAATGTGGAAACGTATGGCAATTGTTTAGCTTCCGATAAGTTGTCCGTCGTAGCGAGTGGTAATAAGGTTGACGCGAAAGTTTGACATATCGGAACGTACTTTTCTTATAAAACTTAAAAATGCGCGGAGGGGACAGAGGAGTGGTCGTAACATGGAAACATTCAGAAGAGATGGACTTACGCCCGTTGCGCGTCTTCACCGTGTACTCTCGATTCCGATAATATATTTCGACTTTAAGTTCTGTGTATTTATATACCAGATGGACACTATTATAACTTATGCGATACTTAGCGGATAGGCGATGTTACCGTTATATCATTAAAATACTATTTATATAAATTAACGTAATACCGCGTAAGGAGTAGAGACGGTACGGAGGCCATAGCCATATGTAGTTAAAATATACGCGTTGAATTTAAACGTAACTGGAATTGCTTCTATATCAAGATCGTCTAGTCTAAAGCGAGCGGAGGAGAATCGCTGAGATACGAATTCGCGTAATATAAATTTACGAGGTAATAGAAAAATAGGCAATACCAATTTTTGATCTTGCCAGAGGTAAATAGTAAATAGCCAATCGATTAAGCCTAAGATCGTTAAGTCTAATTTACATTTTGCATGTAAGAGTATCGGATCAACAGAGACGTATTGTATAATTTCGTGCTATCGCGAAATTTTTGGCCAATCGATTTTTCGCACCGGTTGTGACTGAGTTGAAACAATAATATCTATCGTCGATACACTTTTAGTCCGATACACTTTAGTCCGAAGCAGACTGCCATTGTATTTCTAGATGATACTAGAGAATGAATTGTAGTTGCGTTTAGATTCGCCAATATAAGCATAACGCTGCCTTTGGCTATATTGTTGCCCTTTACTGCTAACGAGTAACTTACTTGTCTACTCATGTGATAATTTAGTATATTTCTACGTATCTACCTGTACCTATACCACTTCGAAAATCTTCATAGCGAAAGGATTATTCCGAACATACGTTGTTTTTATTATAGATCGTAGTAGTTCAGATAAAAAATTGGCATAATCGATTATCTTAGTAAAAATTTTGATAATTGTAAGGAATGATGAACCTACGTTAGGATCTAGCAGCTTCACCATATAAATCCAAAATTGCAGCTGCTCCATAATTTTATTAGAAGTCGCGCGTAGTGAAATAGGCTAATATGGAGATAAGAATATATGCATAATCCTTTCTCTATGCAAAGATTCGCTATTATGACCTAGACAACTTACTTCTACCTAGCGTGCCCTTTTTCCAATGGTGGTTAATTATATTCTTTGCGGACAATTCGAGCTCTATCAATGGCATCACTGGAGGTAAATGTTTGGAACTACAGTGTCAGGGACGAGTAAAAATATTTTGTTCGAGCATTGTGAGGTACGAACACGCTAGATCGTTGTGAAACTTCATTTCTCGAAGAAAGCTCTATTTATCGATAAGCTCGATTTTTCAGCTATCATCTTAATTGCAACGATAGTTCCAAATCCTTATCGTTTGCTGTATACATTGCTGATTTCTTCGATATACATTTTATATGCGTATGATTGACAATCACGCTTGCCTCGGAATTTAGAAAATATGTATATTTAGTACCAATCTCGCGACTTTTTTAAAATACGATTATCACTAACAGAATTGACATTTTATAATAATTTAAGGCACGATCATGATCTTTGTCATTAACTTTTGAGTCTCGAAAACAAATATAGTTTTATTAGCGCGAAGGAAATCATTAGATTTTTTCATATGTGACAGCCGAATAATATACTAATTAAAATAATTTCAACTATCACGTTTTCAGGATAGAAACGGACGTTTTATAGCTCCATTAATGATGGATGACATAATGATACGCATTAATATCATGCATTCGCGTATATTGTATACGAGCGTTATGCTTAATTTAGATGTCATTTCAGATGAACTTAAACTGCATCGTACAAAGTGGTATATCATCATGATTAAAGATCGTGGCAATGGAATTAATATACAAACGTCGGATGAAATTTTTCTTTCGTACATGAGCGAAATATAATTTCGATATACCCTATTGTTGACCTCTATGGTGGAATTGCGAGGAATTTACAGGTAATCGTGGGTAAACTGGGGGGAGAGCTCATCTAGTTGTATTTTCTATCTAGGCAGGGGCAACGCGCCCGGCCATATCACTCGACTACGACCACGTTTTGCACTATGATTTTGGAGACATTTCTTTCCTAAGAGAAATTATCCGATAGACGAAATTTTCGGGATTGACTCAGTGAAAAGAAATTTTTTGGTCTCGGACAAGAGGAGAATCGCAGCGAAACTGACCACTGGCCACGGTGGGTTGCCCATGCCTGTTCTACGCTATCGAACCTTGATCGTTATAGTCATAAAATTATTTTGTACTAAGAACTGTTTATAATTTTGTATCTAATCTCTGTAAATATCAAGCAGATTGTCTATGAGTAATAAAGCTTGAACAAACTCGATTTAAGTAGACTATATATAAACGGGGAAAAAAGTATAAAAATATATACATATATAAATATATATATATAAATACAGGTATTTATAATACATCTATATTTTATTTAGTCGTAAGGCAGCGAGCGAAGGGATTGTAAGTAAATTTCGCGTAAGAGCGGATCGGTAACGTAACAATGTACAACGATCTAGGAATTATTTGTATTAAAAAGACGACAATTAAGGGACAAATCATAAAAGTATACATGTTATTCAATAGCCGTGTATATATATATATATATATATATATATATATATATATATATATATATATATATATATTATACATATATATACATATACTATACATCTAGAATCTAACTAATCATGTACGACACTTTATAAATTAAAGTGTATCCCTGACAACAAATGCAAAATGCAACGTGTGCTGTTCTTTGACTATTCTTGCTTGGATATAGAGGTGACAAAAGATACATATACTGGATGCGATCGGTGACGGTCGAACTTTTCAAGCAATTATTACCAATTTCGATTTTGCCACAAAGTTTACTCGGCTCGATTACGATCGCTGCGTATACGGTGTGGGCAAATTCTACCGAGGACCGCAAACTTTTGTGCGTCGTAAAACGGAACACATCCTTTATATAATTACCATGTGTATATCATTAAAGAAACAACATACAACTTGTAAGTTCCATTATCCATTACTCATGAAGCACAACAATAAAATCTATTTGTATTGGAAAGTCGAAGTTACACTACTTATTTCATGGAAGTCCTATCATCCCGCAAACTCTCTTTGCATTAATTTTATATTGATTTGTACGATAATCAATAATTGCGCTGAAATACAGAATGCTTGCTGTTTGGAAATAATGAAAATTTTTTTCAGCAAATAAAATTATTTTTTTAATTTTTCTATATATATTTTTTGTTTTTTATTTTATTTTCTAATAGAATTAGAATACAAAGCGCGCGTTTTGCGCGCGCTATTTATTTTCGAGTATTATGTGTTTTTAGTAACATGTATATATTATATTCGCACGTGTAATTAATTATACATTACAATTATTACATTTAGGGGAGAGTGGGGGAATTGGGAACACTTAACTTCTAACGTTAAAAAATAATAGAGAAAAGTTATAAACTAAATCAACTTTTATTGCTACATAAACTTCGGTTATCTATGTACTTAGTAGTCATAACAAAATTCTTAAAAATTTACGTTTTAATAAAAATATAAACAAAAACAAAAAACATTGCCGTTCCTATTTACCCGATACCCTATGGGGTAATTGAGATCATCCCGCGGGGGAAATGGGAACCAATAAATACCGCGTGCCGACCTTTTTTTGGTGTCTTCAATTCGTTTTGTTTTAGTTGCGTAAATAATGTTGTTTTTGGTACTGGAGTATTTGGTAGCAGCTTGGCCCAATGTGAGCTTTTTACTTTCAACATCTTCGATTGCATGGCGAAGATTTTCAAGTTGGTATTTTGGTTTAGTCTTTTATACGTAATTTCGAGGCATCTAAAACAATTTGTAAAGTTTAAACATTTTTACACAATCAACCAGCAGCACTATGAGTAATTATAAGAACGCAAGTGGTAATTGGGAACGTTCCCAATTACCCACCTGACGCCGTTCCCAATTGCCCGAAGTAGTCAACATACATCAAAATAGCCGCCACTCTCAACAGCACTTTTGGTTAACTTCAATTTACGTGGGATTTGAAAACAGTGCGTATGATAGTAACAAAATATGGTGTCTTTGAATTCAAAAATATGATACTTACATCTATTATAACAGACGACAAAAATTATATCAAAAATACACAAAAAATTGTTCGACTTACCGTGATAGCACACGTGCGTCCTTTCACTCTCACTGTCGCGTACGCAATGAGTGACACTGCATGCAGCCGTTGAATAGGTTCGGGACGGTGTAATGCGGGGGGATGTATTATTTATCTAGCTGTTCCCAATTACCCGCCGTGGGGCGAATCTATCAAAAACCGGATATTGGACGAAAAAATGAAAAACGTATAATTCAAATTTTGACGAGATTTTATGTTAATATATATCCTAAACTATAAATAAATGTACTTATAATTGATTTTATCCCTTTTGTTCTTTCCTCAAAATGATCTGATAAAGTATGACATTTTCGTGAATACTGAAATTCTAGTAATTCGATAGGTTACTTTCTAAAGACTCTGCCGAAAGCCTAACTGCGAATATGAGTTAAATGCCTATCAGAACTTATTTATTAAGGTTCAAAAAACATATTTATTTTAGTTTTATGTCATTCGAGTACTATTACATATTAATAAATATACACGACATATTCGACTATTAAAAAGTTCTTACTTCAATATTCAAGTAGGAAGAAAAAGTTTGTGGATTAGAATGGATTAAGGTTTGCTCTGCGCCATTTGATAAGGCAAAGTGTCTAGTTTTTGGACATATAAAAGGGTCGATTCAGACACAGCCATGCCGTACCGTGCACGAAACAGAAACATCAGACAAGGATGGAGACAACATTAGACAAGGATGGAGACAATAGGTATCCTTGTCTGATGTTCTGTTTCGTGCACGGTACGGATACGGCACGGCTGTGTCTGAATCGACCCTAAAGTTGTTTATCCGTATACGTCCGGCGTTTATGAGAAAATTGACGTCGAAGTTCACTCGACATGGTCGAACGTCGTCCACGAATAGCTCAGCGGACGCCGTTCGATCATGTCGAGTGAATATGGATGTCTATTTTCTCATAAAAGAAAGACGAAGGGGGATATGTAATTTGTTTAAATATTGCTATTTTGTAATGATTAATTACATCCATATTTTATAACAATTAATTATGTCAATTAATATAGGGTAGACCGGGGACAAAAGTAACAGGGTACAGTTGTAACATCGTGAATATTTCTTAAACTATAAAAGGTACATGTGTATGACCGCGAGGCGAGATCCGCTAGATACAGCGGCATTTGTTCCTTAGTTCATTGCCGCCCCTCGCGGAACGTGCACGTGTGCAGGAGAAGAAGTTACTTTTTTCCTTCCTGAAGTAAGTTTTCTTACGTGCATAAAATCTGAAATATTTTTCTTTCTTTATGCCGAAGGTATAAGGTTTTATTTTTATATGTTTTAGTGATTATTTATGTTGATGATTTGCATAATACGATTGACTTTCATCCAGATATTTATGTAAAAAATTTACTTCAAATCATAAAATATCATTAGGGGACAATTGTAACATCAATGCCTGGGGACAGTTGTAGCGTTACAATTGTCCCCGTTGCTCGGGGACAACTTCAACTTAACCTAACCCTTTAAATATATATGATTATAAATAATCTTTCAGTTGAGAAAACAGTATTATTTGTTTTTGTTTGCAATAATGTAAAAATACTGATATTGTCATGTAACAAATTATTTTATCATTAAAGTTACATTTTTTATAGAAAATTCGTAAGATTGATTACATAAACCCACTAAATAACCATTATTTTGTTTATAGATGATGTGGTACAATCGTTC